CTGGGAGAATATCCCTTCATATTAATTACACAAATTTAGCTAATTCTGAGGGGTTTTTTTTTGAACTCTCCAGTCCGTGCTGCATTTTTTGAGGGTCAGAGGCATCAGTGGAATCAATCCCACTGTATTTGCACTGCCCAACACTCCCAATGTATTCAGGGTAAACATTTCTCTGCCAATCCCCACTGCAGGAAGATTTCCCAAGATATGCTAATGGCACCTCTCCAGTGCTGGAAAAACCCCACAGCAGAGAAAGCTGGGGGGAAAAAAAAATAAATATAGATAAGATTCTGGGTTAAAAAGGGGGAAAAGAGGGGAAAAGCACATTCAGAATTTGTCTTTTGGCCGTAGGAAAAATAAGATAATTTCTGGAGGTTCCCAAGTGACAAAAGGAAGGTTTGGAGACAACAATTTGGACAATTTTGTGTTGGTGCAGGGAATCTACTGATTTCTCCCCTCAAAAAATGAATGCGTTGGGAGACTTAAAGCCAAGGATCTTTTTTAGCTGAGGTTGGTTTTATGGAGAGCTCAGCATGAGAACAGATGATTCCAGGAATTTTTGGAAATTTCTAACAAGTACAAGAAAATAGATAATTCCATATATTTGTCTATAGCAACATGAAATTTTCTCCTGTTTGGTTGTTTGCTTGTTTACTTTGGATTTTTTGGGGGTTTTTTGGGGGGGTTAGGGTTTTTTATAGATAAGAAAATATCAACAAATTTAGTTTTAAGGCATAAAATCAGGTTTTCTACTTCCTTGCAAATAATCCCCATCACAGCATCATTTCCAAACGTATAAATTGCTCTGGGATTTGACTTTTCCAAGGAGAATGTATGAAATAACTGAGCAGGAGGAATTCACAGGGAGATGTTAAAGGCACTGGGCTGGTTCTTAGAGCCTTTTTCCTACCTCAGACATAAAATCTTCCTCATCCCGACATTCCCCAGCTGGAATTTTCTTTTCATTTTTGTTGGGTTTTGGATTTTTTTCCCCCTTTTTTAGTAGGTTTGGGATTTTAAGAGAAAAGGCAAAAAAGAAAACAGAGTTCAATCTCTAAGTCTGGTTCAGAACACCATTTTCCCCCATTTTCCTGTGAGTGGCCCCAAATTGATGAACTGATGGGAAAGTCCAGTTGTCCTTGAGGGATTTCAATCTTTAATCCCCATTTTTTCCACGAAAAAAATGTGGAGAGAGGAGCCCACACTGGAGCAGGTTTGCTGGTAGGACCCGCGACCCCACAGGAGCCCCGGGCTGGAGCAGATCCTGCAGGAATGACCCCATGGAAAAGGGAGAAATTCGTGAGGGAATGACCCCATGGAAAAGGGAAAAAATTCCTAAAGGAATAACCCCATGGGAAAGGGGAGCAGTTCCTGAGGGACCGACCCCATGAAAAAGGAGAAATTCCTGCAGGACTGACCCCATGCAAGTTGGAACTGCTCTTGAAGTACTGACCCCATGGGAAAGGGA